CGTATTGACAGCACTAAAACAGAAAATATTGACGTATTTCCAGCACTAAAATGTAAATTATTTATGTACAAACAATTTTACAGACATACCAATTTGTATGTATTCCTATTTATGAATATTAAAATCTTGGCATTAATGTTTTCAATATTGTATTCAGTTGTGATATCAATGGCATGTTTTCAGTCGCATTTATTAAATGCAGTTTACTCATTTACTTAATAAGTTAGTGTTCGTGACTTCTGCTGCAATCATAATGTTAAACAAGACTACACTTTAAAACCTTAACATGAATAACATTTCTTTAATCAGCTAACCATTTTGTAATATTTAGTTTGTTTGCCGTGAGACACAAAAGGCGTTTTCTCCTATACAGTGTAAATATTTAACGTTTTATGGCTGTAAAAACGTAATAATGCTAGGTTTAAATGTTGCCGATACGTCCATATTATACGTTTCAGCATCTATCCAAACATACAAAAAAGTATGTTTTGAAAAAAAAAAAACAGGCTGGTATATCCAAGTGAAACGGCTTCTCGAACAAGAAAAAATTAGGACGGGACTTGATTTTGTGAGTGACAGACAGGTTGTCCCGCCCTCATGCCAGTAAACGTCATCAGAGAAAAGAGATGTTGATATATATATATAGTATCTCACAAAAGTGAGTACACCCCTCACATTTCAGCAAATATTTTAGTATATCTTCTCAAGGGACAATACTATAGAAAGCTTGTTGCCAACTTTTGACAATAATGGCTGTATGTTGAGTTGTTTTAGGAGGACAGTAAATATAATATACTGCTGTACAAGTAAAATATATCAAAGTTTGACCCTTGAAAAGATACACAAAAATGTTTGCCGAAATGTGAGGGGGTGTACTCACTTTTGTGAGATACTGTGTATATATATATATATATTAAATGCATGCATTCCTATATATATATATATATATATATACTGTATATACACTAAATATTCTGATTTGCAAGTTGGTTTAGGCATTTGCTATTATTGAATGTAAATGTGAGGTAAGCACGAAAATCTGAAGGTCAAGTGTGTGATTTTCTGCAATCCTACTTCAGGAGAAACTCTTTTCAGGACCAACACACTTGTTTTACCTAACAAGTGCCTTAATGGTTCTAATCAGTCCCTTTGGTCCTCACTAGAGGATGTGCTGACTGATGCAAGGCCTAAAAAAATGGAAAGTTGAGTGACCCATTGTCAACAGATATTCGGGACACAGCAAAACACTGCTGCTGGTGAAGAGTGAGTAATTAAGAAAGATGAATGAGAAAGAGATAAGAGATAAAACCCTTGTCAATATCGGGTCCTGCAAGGGAGTAGATAAAAAGTCCCTGAGGGGTCTGTGAAGTGAATAGGGGTCAGCATGTATGTAGGTAACAATTAAACCTCAGCCTACTGCGAGAGAATTGCCACAATGATGACATCAAAAGCTTCACCGCTCTCTCTCTCTCTCGCTCTCTTTGTCTCTCGCTCTGTTGCTATTTATAGACTCTCATCAGCACTGGATGGAAGGTAGAGTGGCTTCTTCCCTCCCAGTATTTTCATGGCCACATATGAATAGTCTGTCACAATGTCCTTTTCTGCTCCTCACATTTTCTGTTACCTTGAAATTCAATTTTTAGAGGTTGAATGGCTGTCAGATGGCGTGGGTTGATGTGCTAGTTAATGTGGGCTATAGTCGAAGTATATCCTTAGGCAATCATAACATGCATTCAAATGTTCTCTTTACAGAAGAATATTACAATAAACCTCAAGTTTATTTAAGGAAAACAAACTAAATTTGTATGCTGACAGAATTCTGATCCCTCTGTTCAAAACTGGGTAACAATTTAGAATAATGGTCCATCATCAATAAGTAACTGGGATGCAGGGCAAATGAGTAGTAGGCTACTACATTAACACTTCAGCTAATATTAACTAATATGGAAATATTAGCTTAACTAATCAGTAATATCAAATTTAAGACTAAGATAGTTCCTTATTAGGTAATCAATAATTACTCAATGAGATTAGCCTTATTAATAACTATTAACTAACTACGACAAATTATAAAGAATCACCCATTAATTACTAATCAAAACATTAACCTGTGACTGAGACGTAACCAATCATCTTTTTTACTCTGAATTTAGTCATAAAATGCAACATAATTACTCAAGTGTTGCTTTTCACTCTGCAGGAGTGATCTGTAAAAAAAATTAACACTTGAGTAATTAGCGATGCATTTTATGACCGCTTAAAAAAGACAATTGCTTACATCTCAGACATGTTAATGTTGTGATCAGTAATCATTAGCAATTCTTCATAATTTGTCATAGTTACTTATAGTTTTTGATGATGCAAATCTAATTTAAGTAATTATTGATTTCCTAACGAGGAACTATCTTAGTCCTAAATTTGCTACTTTCCACATTAATAGTAGTAACTGAAGTGTTAATGTAGTAGCCTACTACTCATTAGTCATGCAGGACTTCCTGCATAGTTACCTATTAGTAAAGGGCCATTATTCTAAAGTGTTATCAAAAACTGTTTCAGCCTCTGATACGTGAAACTCATTTTGTTGAATTAGTTTGTAGCGTGTGAGTTCATGCCAATCTTATTGGCCGAAGGCAGTCCGATGAGGTCACATGGAGCACCCAAGCATACAAATGGGTGCCTGCATTACACATTTTATGAGCTTAGTTGTCCTCAGGAAGCCGCTTTGTTTATGTGTGTGTGAAGATAAGAGCTCTGTTCTTGCTTGATTTTCTCTCGAGGGATAGAATCGAGTGTCTGAATGGAGTGCGTTTGGCTCCCAGATGAGTTGGATGCACTCATAGCGATGAATTTATAGTAGGGGGTTAAGGTTTGGAGTGTCTTTATACGCAGTAGAACTAGTCTCGGGTGGAGGGGCTGTATGAGCACCGATACGCGAGGGTGCCCTGGGTTGAGGAGTTGCTTGTGAGCTATCTCTCCCCTGGCACTGCATCCTCTTTGAAGGCTCCTGCCTTGCCAATTGGAGTAGAGCGAGCGTGTTCGGCTTGAGGGAGCTGAATTCACTTACTGTTATGGACGTGGAGAGAGAGCTCCGCTCTCGCTTGGCTCTTTTCTTTAGGGATGAGAGTCAAGTGACTGCACCTTGCAATCCAGACCCCGTGTAGGGTTGGACTGGCAGGAATCCTTATGAGCATAGTGCTCAACGGGTCAATCTGAAGTGCCCCTCCCCAATTCATCAGATTGGGTATTAAAGCAGGGCTATGCTCCTTTGGTAGCCTATATAAGTAAGGTTGAGCCTAAATAGATATTCTGTCGCCCTGCCCAGTTCATCGACTGGGAGTTGAAGTAGGGCTGAGCTCCCTAGCAGGGACTGAGCACAAGTAGAGCTTGACAATTAGATCGCGTATGGAAATGGAAACTTCTCCTCCCTCACTCCTCCTCACCAATTTGTTATATTGGGGTTTGAAGTAGGATTATGCTCCTTGTGAATGGGTTGATTCCCATCCCCAGGCTAGTCGAAGGTTGGAACGGGGATTTAACAGAGCAGAATGGTGTATCACGGATATCGATCCCTTCTCTATTGCCTCTCCAGCTCCCTTTGGTTCGCTACTCCATAGGCTTGTGTTCAGGTCTGATATAGATTAATTGCTGTGAGCAACTCCGTATTTCATCTATTGGTTGAAGCTTGTACAAGTATACGTTTTTGTGTTTGTTTTTTACAATAATAACCGACTACATTAAAAGAGTTGGATGTAATTATCAAACTGTAATAAGCATTCAACATGCTTGTGACCCAAAAGATAGGTTTACACTCAAGTTTTAGTAGTCATATAGAACAGTACTATAAATAAAGCTGAAACAGGCAGTGCAACTGAGCCTAAATTACGTAATCAATTTCTCTATTGATCACTGTGCCTGCTTTCCATTGTTGATCCATCGGTCATTCACATGTAATGCGTTCCTATTTTCTGTCCAGGCATCCTTTATGGAAAATGAGAGTGGAAAAGCATGTGTAATGGACAGGACAGTACTACGTATGCATGTATGGATGGCTTCGCCACAATTACAGCTTAGATGACACATAATTACCTTGTAATGAATTCCTCTTTCCCTCTTAATCAACAGCTGGGTCCTCATTCCACTTCATCAGGAAGCAGTGATCATCATATTCTCACATGCACACTGACACTTGATCACGGATGGGCAATCATTGCTCTCGTAGTCAGCTTTGTTTTATGTACATTAACCAGCCAGCTTGATGACCAAAGACACATAGTGTCCAGCACAAAAATGCACCATGACATCAAATCAAAGCTTGCATGCAGAATAGTGAACACTGTTGATTAACTACACACCATGTTTCCAACTCAAAATACAGTACACTTGCAGCCTCTAGTGGCTTTATTCTGCAAGTACTTAAAAAGCCTAGTTATTTCTCACCTTTATAAATTCAGACAAATAGATTTAATAACCTGAAGTATTACGGTTGATATTTTCATACAAAAAATAACTAAGACACAAATTCGTAAGATGTCCTGAGATTACAGTTAAGTAGGCACCTAAATAATGCAACAGTTGCAGAGCCTTGCATCTGCTGTTTGGAGAAGCACAGGGAAAGGAGGACTAGACTGAATAAATGCAGCATGTCTGCATAAATAATACATGAAGACACAGAGAGCATGCTAAAGTCGAACTTCTCACTGAGAGAATGCAGAATGTGCACTTGACATAAAGAAACTTTCTGAGAAACATCATATGGTAGAGATTTTGAAGCGTACGATTTTTTAAAAGGAATGCAGCTGTTAAACATCGGGGCTGAGTATTCAAGTGGATTTGTGTCAATTATATTAATTACATTATATTTTACTTGTTTTCGTAATATTTTTATATATAGTTGTGCTATATTTATTTATTCATTTTTGACATATCTGATGAATCAAGAATCATTTTCCATTTTCTTTTGTTTAATGAATGAATGAAACCCTAATCAGAACAGACTTTAATTTGCATACAAATATTTTAATATCACAGAAAAGCATACTTGATGCGTTCATATTACATAACAATTATGTAAGGATTGCACGGCACTGGCATTAACGTCTTTATTTCACGAGGCTGTGGTCTCTGTCAAATTCTTATCTTCTCAGCCAGAGACAGCAGCTGCTTCCTTCCTTCAAAGAGCAAAATACTTGCAGCCATGGCAGAGTTCAGGCTGTCCACACCGTGCACCATGGGGATCAGTAATCTCCGTCCTCCAGTCCTCTCAGCCAACTGCAAAGCCTCCCGGCTCAGACCGTGCGTTTCTCCACCAATTATGAGGCATGTGTGCCTAGCAACCCAGTCAATGTAATAATACTGAGTCTCAAGGGATTTGCGACTATCATAATCCGCAAAACCAGACAAATCGTCATCCTCATATTCCACCTTCCTTGGGTGATGGCCTCTGACCCAACCGTAATCAGATGGCTTTTTTTGTTTTTTAGAGGTTACGGTATGGTCATCTTCAGTTATGGTGGTGCTGGAGTTGTCGGCTACGTGAATGGTTGCTGTTTTAGGCAGGTGACTTGGAATCTCGTTCCATGTTATGCTTGGGATTATAGGGAGACGGAAATGAGCGCCCATGGCTGCCCTAAGAACTTTGGGGTCCCAAACATCCACACATCCTGAATCATAAACAAAATTTAAAACATTCAAAAACAATATCAAGTTCCTTGTTTTAAAATAAAACATTATCATCACTGTCAATACATTCAATGACAATACTGTCAATTTTATATTGTAAAAATACAATATATATAAACATAGAGTGTTGGCAGGGAGCATGAAGAATCATTTTCACACATGAATTGGCACCTCTGAGTCTAGACCTTAAAATCATTGGAAGTCTTTGGGATGTGCTGGAGAAGACTTTACAGAGTGCTTTACTCTTGCACATAAATGTTGTGATGTTAATTCCATCAAGAAGTGCATAATATTTTGGTCAAGATCTTGTATTGGCAATGCAAGAGTCGAGCTCTCTGTAAAGTCTTCTCCAGCACATCCCAAAGACTTCCAATGATTTTAAGGTCTGGACTCAGAGGTGCCAATTCATGTGTGAAAATGATCCTTCATGCTCCCTCCCAACCATTCTTTCACAGTTTGAGCCTGATGAATCTTGACATGGTCAATCTGGAATATGGCCATGATGTGTCTCGCCACATGATTGTTTAAGAAATGAAAAGCTACACACTCCATCAATTAGGGTTAAAAGAACTGTTCCCATAACATGCTAGAAACATGATAATCACTGCAATAATTATACAGAATAAGCATTAGCCCATCATCAAAAGAGCAACTTTTGTAAGTATGCAAGTATATATATATATAAGTCAAAATATGTTATTACCTTTTCTCTCTTTTTTAACATTTTAAAAATCACTACATTTTAACTTTTGGTATGAAAATGAAATAAAAGTTTTTCAAAACCATAAGAAAGCAACATGAACACCAAAGAGTACATTCCTAAAACTTGTGTTTTAAAGTAGAATTTGAAAAGATGTTTTTATTTTCTTTATCACGGACACTTCTTTGTAAAAAAAAAACTAGTATGTTTATATACTGTTAGCTGTTATTGTTCAAATAAAGGAATACTTTATGTTAACTGCCCATTAAAGGAATCACTCTAATTCTAATCCTTTAATTATTTGGAAGAGAAAAGTTTCAAAACTTCAGAACAAAAGCTTTGCTGGTACCTTTAGTCAGCAGTACACTATGGCACCCTGCGGCAGCGGCGGAGCGTAACACTGCCCCCAGGTTTCCTGGGTCCCTCATGTTGTCACAAATCAATGTCAGAGGCACAGGCTTGCCATACTTTTCTTGTGAGAATGTTAAATGGGAAGCCTCAGGCCGTTTGAATATGGCTGCAATTAGAGAATGTCACGTCACAAAACATCCTTCAAATTAAGATGCTGCAGTATAAGCAATACAATTTATTTTTTATTGGTAACGAAGTTACATCTTCTTACCTATTATGTCTTGTGAGATGTCAAGATCAGACCAGATTTTAGGATCTTCCATCATAACTTTCACAATGCTAGTAAATCGGAGTTTATCTGGGGGCAGCTCTCGCAGTGCATCCACAGAACTGAAATAAACAGTTTGTGCTATAGCCCCTGCATCTAGAGCACTGCATACAAGGCGCTTTCCCTCCAGAACAACTTTACCTTGCTGCTCACGAAGCTTCTTAGATCGAGCTATGTTGACCAACTTCCTGCATATGAAATGGAGATTAAATGCAACATTATTTGTAGTAAATAAGGGGACTATAGCACTTACTGAACATTTGTTGCATAAAAACTATTATTAGTACTATTACTAGTATTATTAGCAACTGAGTCTTTTTTAATTAAAGACTGTAGTATTGCATAAAAACAGGCACCAAAGTCTGTAACTCCAAAAATGGGATTAAACAACAACAACGGCATTTACAAGATGCCAAATACAGATTCAAAGTACTTTACCATAGATGTACCTTTTTTGTTTTTCATAGCCTTAAAGGGATAGTTCACCCAAAAATCAAATTTGTAATAATTGACTCACCCTCATGTTGTTCCAAACCTGTATCAGTTTCTTTCTTCTGTTGAACACAAAAGATGTTTTGAAGAATGTTGGTTACCAGACCGTTGACGGTAGCCATTGACTTTTATAATTTTTTTTTTCAACTATGGAAGTCAATGGCTACCGTCAACTGTTTGATTACCAGTATTCTTCAAAATATCTTCTTTTGTGTTCAACAGAAGAAAGAAACAGGTTTGGAACAATATGAGGGGCAAAATTTTTGGGTGAACTATCCCTTTAAGTGACTTAATTATAAGAGCAAATTTGTTACATTCTTCATTTATGAATAAAGAATTTGCCATTCATGATGAAGTTTACAAAACTGGCAATACTTTTTGTCTTCATGCACATAATAACAAATAATTTATTTAATATTCAATGTTATCTTTAATGCAATTTAACATTTACACAAAAAAAAAAAAAAAATCCTCAATATTTAGAAACCGGGTTAATTGCATGACATTGCTGAACATGTCAACATGACATCGCCCATGAGATGGCGACCCGCTCCACGTAAAGCAAAACAGCTTTATATGTCTTTTAATATAAAACTCTGATAAAGAGTATCACTCACGTCAAACATTTGTCACCAGGCTGTGCTTTCTCATACAGCAAACCATCAACTTCTCTGAAACGGGAGAGTGTGGTGGATTGAGCAGCGACATGGCCATGGCAGTCTTCATTAATTGCCTTTTCCCGACGTAATTGTGAGAACTGAACTGAATGCGAGTTGTTGTCACTTTGACTGACATTTGTTGCAATCTCGGGTCGTTGAATGCTCGCTTTTTCAGAGTTTCTGAAAATGTTGTCTTTTAATGAATGTTCGTTGGTTTGACTGACGACTTGTTTTAAATTTTCTATCGACTCATTAACTGAAATTAATCCAGATACAGATGTGCGTCTACGTACATTTCGTTTGATATTAACGGCATTGCATCGCAATGTCAAAGCTGGTTGAAATAATGGGTACAAGAATCTCATGCTTGCGATGCGCGTCGCCATTTTGCCAACTGAACTTCCGGGATGCGAATTTACAAATACTACGGCGAAGGCTGGACGGCGGACGCTTAATATTAATGAGTCACGCAGCAATATTTACCTAATTAATATTCACGAGCCATGCGTTAGCCATGGGAAGGGTAGTATTACCTTAATATTCATAAAAATTCGACTAGTTGGCAACATTTTCTTTTAATCAAATATTCTGAAATATCTTCTAAAATGTTTTGCTTCGACATTGCCACAAAACTTTTCACTGATTCGATTCGATTCCCATTTATTGTTATTTGCTCAGTGGTTTAAATTTACAAGAGTGGAGAAACCTTAATCCTATGCAGGAAAAAATGCAGTTTCATAATGTAATATTCAAATAACGTCATAATTGAAGATTATCTTTTTTTAAAATGCTTTATTCATATCACAATTTGTATAATAAAGCAATTTTTATCCAAAATATTTGAATATTTTGATCTAAAATATTCATATGCTCATTTAAAGAAATATTGAAATGAAATATCAAGAGTGAATCAGTTAAAACAGCATAGCCTAGGCCCAGTTGATTACATTTTTGATTAACAACATACAGGCTATAATTGTGAAAATGTTGCTATTTAATAGTTCCTCTCTGGTTTTCTCTATGAAAAGCCTCACCTGTGGTCTAAAGGGGCCACATATGGTTGCTCTTTGTAGAAGAACGATTTCAGCATTGCTGCTTTTAGCATCATTGTTCATGCATTATGGGCAATTATCCAGCTGTTATAATCTGTTATTCTGAAGCAATTGACTTTTGTGTGCATGTATTAGTGAACAAGAAAAACAGAGACAGAGAGAGGAGTTAAAGCTAAACTGTATCACGAGACTGTGTGACGCATATTTATTATTTGTCAAAATACCATAAAACTGCATGACTTAAGTCTATCAATTATGTGATCAATGATCTTTACTTTTATCGAATATAATATGTGAGGTATTCTATGTACATTTTTTTTGTAAATTGTATTGTCTTTTTATTGTAGTGTGCTGCTGCTGCACCTTTTGTCATCAATACATTTAAGACAAAACATTAAAAAAAATTATAATCGATGAATCAGAAATAATGTTAAAAATATATTGAAGGTTCATAGACAACATGTTTTCATAAACTCAATCATTCCAACTGTTCAGTCGTATACCAACAGAGATAATCCAATCCCTTGTCTTATGCAATCTGCTGAACAGATCCGTTGTCACACTACATGTCAAACACGCCACATAAAAAAAAAACATTGTCAGTAACTGTCAAAAATAGAAATACAATAATTCAGAATCATGGGTTATTATGATCTAAGATTAAAACCTAAAACAAATGTTTTTGTTAGGCCTACTTGAAATAAAGTAACTGAAATAAAATAAAATATAAAAAAATATTTCAACTATAGGCAACATTTTCATATAGGCTAGTTAAACTTGATGTAGCCTACTAAAATTACTAAAACTGAAATACAAATGGTTGGCTTTTAAAAAAAACAAGAACTAATAAAAATTAGAAAAATGCTAAAACTTTAATATATAAAAATTTAAATTAATTCAAAATATTACTACAAATTTTCTCAATTATACTAAAATAACAATGTCCATAATACTCCTAGAGCACAAAGAAATACATTTCAACATTTACTGCACAATTTGTAGTATTACTTTAAATCAGCTCGTTAGGAAAGCAACTAACTGAGTAGGAGTGAATTCAGGTGGATTGGGACACTTTTCCCCACTCATCGATCTCAATGACAAAAGTGTCCCAATATGTCAAAAAAGAGAGACATACGGCTCCCCAGAAACAAGATAAAAAAAAATAAACTAGTAGCCTAGCTTTACACGAATGCAATAACAACATTATGTCATTTAACTGTAAATTAACTGGAAGCATGATCCTATATTGTTTTATGTTTAATAGCGCCGTTTCATCACTGGATGTAACTAGGCGTCAATAATTCAGCCCGGACAGCTCTTGATACTATTTTGAGAGGGCGCTCGAGTGGGCGTGGCCTAAAAACGCAGCAAAACATATGATTGGGTGACAGCAACGTGGGAGGATGCGCAGTGTTCGTCGACTCTATCGGAGATTATCTTGTTATTGTCGCCATATCTGTCAGACCGATAACGCTTTGATGGAAAATGAGTTCGACTTCATAGTTCAGTGTAAGACATGTAAAAGCCATTGCCCTGTCCATTCTTGAGCGATTAGAACAGTAATGCACATAGGTATGTAGTGCTGTCACTCACTGTCACTGAAACTACAGGCGATAACATGGATGAACACTAGATTCAACTAATGTTTCACGCAGAGCGACTAATGTGATGGGTGCCGATACTAGCAAAAACTGCAAGGTCAGTCTTTATATTATTTTCTTATTATGAATGGTGGAAAAAAGTAACTTTGCAGAAAGAAACCATGTGTTCAGGATGGCTGCTCACTGTGCATGTTTTAGGCTACTTTTATGTTTGATCTCCAGTTGTAAAAGTAGCAGTGCGTACGTTTATTTTAAAAGCCAAATCTTAATAGGGCAAGTCAATTAAATAAGTCACATTTAATTTAAAAAAAAAACATTATACTGATAAGTATGTCATATAAAAGTATACATGTATAGTTATTGTATGTACTACTAAGGTCTTATAAGTCTGCAGAACATTGTTTTTTATTGACAAGCAGGGCATTACAGTGATTTAAAAACATTTATTTACCTACTGTAATGACCAATAAATTGTGTCCATGTATGAACTGTTTTCTAAATGCACAATAATTCCATGAGTCATTTCACATCTGTGTGGATTTGAACTGAAAGCAAAGCCAAAGGACAAGCTGTGGGATTGGAGTGTGACTAACATCCTTTAATTAATATGAATATTAAAGTGAATTCCTCTACTATAGGCACTTTTGAATTTACACACACTCATATAAACCACATATGCCAGATCACACAAAACACACTAAAATCATTTTAACACTTGTTAATTGAAAATGTAAGAAATGTTTCCATTTTTATTCATCCATAATTGACGGGTGTTGGGACATGAAAAAAAACCCCATTATTTTCTCCTAGTACGTTTTTTGTTATTATTTAAAATTAAAGATGGTGATCTATAATGACTGCTGGGATTGCATAGTGTCTATACAGAAACACACATGAGCATGTTGAAAAATAGGTCATTGCTGGAATATGAGTAACCGTGTAATGATTATTTATTCACATTCATTCACAGCAGTACACAGGGTCGGAGGAGCAATCACAAATATCCAGATGGAGGGGATTTCTCTCTGCTGTGGGTATTTCTCTCCCAGCTGGTCTCTGCAGAATCAACCCATTACGAATCGGATCACATAGAATGATTTGTGACAAGGAGCCATCCATTCCTGAGCACCTGGTCTCCTCATTGCCGGGCCCTGAGAAACTCCGAATGGAATGGAGTTTGCCAAGCTTTATCAACATGTTTCTGCCTGAATTCCCCCACCGCAATGTCCCAGGACATGAACATTTTCAGGTGAGAGATGCCAAGGGCAAAAGGTGAAAATAAGCTCACTCATTTGTCAACAGTTTCTTATTTATTTTATGTTTTTCACAGTATTTTATCATATCGTCCTACCCCTAGGTGCTGGGTTACATAGCGAAAGGATCTTTCGGTCCCATTTTAAAGGTCAAGGATAAGTCGAAGCAAAAGACCTACGCAGTTAAGGTAAAAACTTTGTCTATAAGCCAATTAAACGTTTGTACACACCTACTCATTGTTTCTAATTACTATTTTACACATTTAAAACTAATAAATATAACAGACAATTACACAAAAAATGTCAAACAAATCAAAACTATCTTATATTTGAGATTATTTTTAGTTGCCAACCTTTAGGTTTATTATAATGTAAAGACATTCATAGATAGGACATACATAGCAACGCGTGGGTGACATCGCTGGTTTTGAAGTAATTAAACTCACAGCTTTGTTGTTAATAGAGAGAGACGCTGAACAGACACAGGTAATTCGCACAAGCATCATTGCTCTCTCTCTCCTCTCTTTCTTGATAATGAATTCAAATAAATGCTATAATTCATTCATTCAAATAGATTTTATCTTACGCACTACTTGATCTCTGTGTCTGATTCAAAGCGGTCTGAATGAGCATTAGTTTTACCTCTCCGGTCAAATATTGCACTGCAAACATCAATAACAGCATTAAGTCGTCAATGCTGGCACATGACCATGGTATAAGCGGGATAATCCACGGCTAGCTGTGCATTAAACGATTTACCGTGTTGTTCCGTAATATATAAGACAATATATTTTTCTTAGAAATACATCTGAAAAAAAGGGTTCGTCTTATATTTAGGTTCTGGACTTTTACATGTCAATTATACACCCGCAATAATAGGTGGCGCCAAATACGCGTAAAACGAGTGTGTCAGAGTGTAATGTTAGAAAATCGCAAGCACAAAAAGACAAAGAAAAGAAAAGCTTTACGGTCTAAGAGCCGCGGGACTGTCAGTGTTTGGGTGCCTCACTGAAGAGACCAAACTTCGCCCATACGCGATTTTAAAACTTAAGACGGTACCCAGATTTCAACTACAATAAGATTTCACTTCTACTGTTAATGCAATTGTGGTCGGCTACATGCTTTTCACTATGAGATGGATAGCCTAATTGTTATATAATTTAGATGGGCTTCAGGTTATTTTTATGGTATGCCAAAAAGTGTTTATTTTTAAACGTGATCTTTGGTACATTTGACCAGTAGGCTATTTACCATATTTTCAATACAAAAATTAAAATAGGAAAAAATATTCAGTATGAAAATTATAGTGTATAGTGAATAGTGAATGAGGGTTTAGGGGGCGATTTCGGATTCAGCTCTTTGTCTGGTCTCATCAAGAGCAACGACTAACAACTTACTTACTTTGATACTCACCTTGTGAAGGCTTACCTGTTTCAACATAGCAATCTCCAAGTCATCTCAGTGTCTTCTGCAAGTGAACTACAAGTGAAGTCTATCCCCATTACTACCTCCAAGATTCCCAGCTCCTCATCTCCTCAGCCTCCTTCATTGGTTGTGTGCATCGTCTCGTGGCTTGTGTGCAAGCCTAATTCGGACAGGATTAGTTTAACATGGAGAGGTGGGGGAAAGTAGTTATTACTAGAGCTTCTCTGTGATTTTAGTCCCGTCCGAATGTGCCATCTCAGTAATCATTATGGACAATGTCAGTAAAGATTACGGCGACTTTTACCATCTGTAAAAAAAAAGGTCCGGAAAAAATTACCTCAGGTAATACAAATCCCGTGCGAATTAACCCGATATGTACGTAAATATTCTGTCATTTCCTGTTTAGAAGTACTTTTCCTTGGTTTTTCAAGTATGGAGGTGCTTGAAAAAGCATTCAGTTGCATTCTAGGCGGTGGGACGTCAAGCCTGTGGCAAAACTCAAGTGTTTTCCGCATATCATTCAGATCAAAAAGAAGATCGAAAGCACTTGTCTGAGGCACGGAACTTCTTTTAGCTTTAGGTAAGTGCCTATTACCAACAAAACCCAGTTAGAATTTAATACATGTAATTAATAAATCGTTCGATCGGACCTTACTGTTATATAGGTTATTATATTGTGCATATTATATCAGGAAGGTGACGGCGGTGCGTAAATCGAGTTACCCCTCCCACTTCTGCTAGTTTTACAGAGATTTCTTATCCTGGGCGAATTGGCCGATTATATTACAGACGTCATGTGGTAAAATGACATTACTCCATCTACCCTTGTAAAACTAATCCAGTCCGAATAGGGCTTAAGAAACCCAAATTATCCTGTCTACCATTGCTTCAAACTGCCAAAGTCAATACTCACCTGTTCTCTGTTGTTCCTGCTGGATTTTTCAATAAACTTTCCCGTTGTGTCCATATTCCATCTGAGTATCCCTGACACTTATGCTCACCAAGGCAGCATTCATTTGATTAAAAAAACAGTAATACTGTAACATAAATTATTAAAATGTTAATTTTTTTGTTAATTTTTAAATTTTCAGCATCATTACTCCTGTCTTCAGTGTCACATGATCCCTCAGAAATCTTTCTTATATGCTGCTTTGGTGCTTAAGTAATTTCATTAACATTTTTATTGATGTTGAAAACAGTTTTTGCTGCTTAATATTTTTTGCAGAAACCATAATAGATTTTTCAGGGTTCTTTGATGAATAGGAACTTCTAAAGAACAGCATTCATTTAAAATAGAAATACTGTCAGTGTCACTTGTGACCGGTAATGTATATGAACTGGGCCTCATCTTCATGAGAAAGAATAAACACCCTAGTAACATAGTAATGTTCATTTGCCATTTGTGATTTATTTTGTCTAATGTAGGTTATTCCAAAATCTGAGATTTTGCGTTTGGGAGTTTTGGAGCAGTCAAAGGAGGAAGTAATAGTCCAGGTGAGCCCAAGTCCTGACTTTTCAATGATGTCCTCATTTTCATTAGGTTAAATAGTCACCCTGGTACATGAAGAGGTCGAGTTCAAAACCCACAGAGGTTTGTAACTCACTGTGCCTGTGCTCTTGTTGTCAAACTGTTACCTTGCAGCGTCAGGTCCGCCACCCTTTTGTCCACGACCTGCAGGACTGCTGGCAGACCCAGCGACACATCTACATTAGTGAGTGAATCAGAACACACCCCTGCCCCAACTCTCCTCCTGCCTTTCCCACCACTAAATCAGTCTTCCCTCACACAAAGTGCCATGTGGCCCTGTCCCCACCGAGACACGGAAATCTGCCTGGAGCTCTCACAAACTATCATTCCACTTCAAATCTGTGAGCAGCTGTGAAGAGGACATGTAATCTGAAATGATACACTACTTTTCAAAGTTTGTGGTCGGTGAGATTTTTTAATGTTTTTGAAAGGGGGCTCTTCTGCTCATAAAGGCTGCATTTATTTGATCAAAAATAGAGTACAAAAGTAATATTTTTTATGTATTCCTGTGTCCTTCAGAAATCATTCTAATAGGCTGATGTTTGTGCTAAGAAATTATTATTATTATTATTTAAGTATAATAATATACTTATTATCAATTTTAGTGTTGAAAACAGTGTTTTACTTAATATTTGCTTATATCCATGATATATTTTATTTTCAGGATTCTTTGATGAATGGAAAAATACAGTAAGATTTTACTGTAACACTGTAAAATCTTAAATATCACTTTTGATCAATTTAATGCCCCCTTGCTAATTAAAAGTATTCTTTTTTTTTAAGAAAAACTGACTCCGATATTTTGAACATATTTTGATAATCCGTGTTAAAATGTTTACAGGGATTTTATTGTAGAATCGATGCGCCTAATAATTTTTTAATATTAAATTAACTAAAGAGTTTAAAAATGCTTGTTGTCAAACAGGGTTACCAAACTCCCCCCACCCGCCATAATTTGGCCCAAACTCATGCAATTGGTTGAGCAAATGTTGCTGTGTCTGGACTCGGGATGCTCAAAAACCAAACAGAACAATGTTTTGGAAGCGCCACTTTTATTTCAACCTGTGGAATGGCTGAACTATAGTCTCAACATACTATGCTGGAGGAGCATGTGTAAAATAAACCATACACACTTCACAGTTCAATTACATTTCTTACTCTGATTCTGTCTGCCACACTGTCTACAAAGTATGAGACTGAGAACTACCCAAACTGCACTTCATCTTGCATAGAATATGGATCCTATCCATGTTGCTGATTTCATGATATTTCTAATGTTAAGATATACTGTACAATCATCCATAGGTCTATAATCCTGCTCCTGGAGACCCACTATCTCACTAGTTCTAACCTGCTCCAACACACCTACCTGCAACCTTCGAGTCATCCTGAGCACATTGGTTAACTGGTTCTGGTGTGTTTATTGAGGTTGGTGTAAACTCTGCTGGACAGTGGGTCTCCAGGAGCAGGATCCAAGACCTCTGCCACTATCTATAGTTGAATATCAAGTGGTTCTTAAATAGCGCATGTAAAGTGACCCACAGACTGTTATTTCTGAATTAGATATGTTTGTTTAGACAGGCCAGAATGCTTGAATTCTAGAACAGGGGTTCTCAACTCTGGCCCTTCGAGATCCATTTCCTGCCGAGTTTAGCTCCAGCCTTGATCAATGTCAACCTCACCTGCATGTAACGTTCTAGTAATTCTGAAGACCTTGATTGGCTTGTTCAGGTCTGTTTGACATTGTGTTCACGCCATGCCGTTATTACCGCAATTATGTGATTTCAACTTTTAAAAAGCGTACACGTCCTCGTATAGCTCGTAATTACAGCTTGTAAGATTGGAATTGTTTGAGAGCTCCTACTTGGACCATGTGACTGCTGTTCCACCTTACCGCTGCAGATTCATTTAGGCTTTGATAGTGGTCCCATAGAAACGTATAATTCAGAAGAGCTCAGAATATAACGTCATGTGTTGTCATCTTGAGATAGAATACATCCCAAGTTTATGGCCTGCCCCACTTGGGATCTTGTGTATCAAAATTGTCCCTGATCTTTCCAGCGGTAAATACTAATTGAGAGGGCATTCATGTCCAATTTTTATCTAGGAAACTTGTATTTACGATAAATCCCGCTAGCACGTGAAGGCAGCATTAGTAACACTCCTATGTTTTAGGACACCTCAATCCAAACCTCAAGTCCTTTTTCCCCCGTGTTTTTGATTTCCCAGTGATCCTGACTGCATTTGTGAAAGTGAATTTCCTTCTTCTACTTTGATGTTCAGTTCACCCCTTGAATGCTTTCTCCTGACTAAAGCTAAGATGAACGTGTCACTTCCTTACCACCACTTGATTACCACCTGATTCCTTCATTCACAGCCTGCACTGTTTTGACACTTTATTCAGTCTAGATCACTACTGGGATTTGTTTAAATCACTGGGTTCTTAAAGCTTAAGGTCCTATTTAATAACACAGATGCCCGGTTTCACAGACAAGGCTTAAAGGCCCACTGAAGTGGAGCATTATTCAATTTGTTGATGTAATTTAAACTGTAACAGGAAGACAGGGCGGGACATATCCGACAGCTCCGACCCTTTTTTTAAATAGCCAATAGAGTTCAGTTTAGACCGCTCGGCCAAAGCCGCTGAGGTCGGTAAAGCTGCAGTTTCCTCCTGATCTCTGGCTGCTTTAAAATATAGCAAATGTTTGTGGTCCTAAAAATGTTTGTGGTCTGTGCCGACTCAATCATATGATGCACTCTGTGTATCTTGTCTCTGGACTGTGTGCGCGCTGTGGTGGTTCACGTGACACTAACTTAATTCGCTCCAGTGTAAAGCATATTCACACTGTCTAAATCATTCCCTATCCCTTATATAGTGCACTATGTGCCATTCACCATGTAGAAAATAGTAAATGTGTGAACAAATGAGCGATTTTAACTAAAAGCAACTTGCATTGACATATCTTAAACTATGTCAGTGCCATTGTTTTATCTCAAGTAAACACCAGTAATGTTTTTTTCTAAGGCACGGTTATAAAAGCTACTCAAATGTCCTAATTGAACTAAGGCCTATTCCTGGCTTAATCTAAGCCTTGTCTGTGAAACCAAGCCAGAATGTTCTGTACTTCGTCTAAACCATGATGTTTTTCCGGTCAGTGGTCTGGGTGAGGGCAAAGCTGTTAGAAACAGATGGTCTTGACTGATGTATTATGAATCTGGTCATCTCCCAAAGTGACAGATGTTTTCTCTGGGTTCACTTGCCCTTTCCATGTATCAGTTGGATGTTTGTGTTCATGTTTATCTCTATTTGGGATTTGCACATTCAGGCACTGTTCATATGATTTGATTCTGTTTATTCCCTCTCTAGTGTGTGATTACTGCAGCACAGGAGACTTGTACACATACTGGGTGATGATTGGTCAGTTCAGAGAGGATGTGGTAAAAGTGTTTGCTGCTGAATTGGGTTCTGCTTTAGGTAAGCAATGACGCTCATCTTGGATGCTTAGTGTCATGATGCTTTAGAAATCATTCTAATATGCTGATTTGGTGCTCAAGAAACAATTATTAATTTTCTCAATGTTGAAAGCAGTTGTGCTGGTTTGTAGAAATCATATTACTTTTTTTCAGGGTTATTTAAAAGAAATCTTTTGTAACCTTATACATGTCTTAACTGTTACTTTTGATCATTTTAATGTGTCCTTGCTGAATAAAAATATTAATTTCTTGTAAAAAAAAAAAAGAAGAAATCTTACTGACCCCAAGCTTTTGGAAGGAGGTGTATATTACAGGGTAACCCTGTAATATACACCCTAACCCTAACCCTAACCTAACCCTAAAGGCGATGACGATAAAGATATAGTTCTAAAAATCACTCTAAATGTAAAAGAATAGCAGAGTCCACACCACAACTATAAAGATAATGAATGAAAAGTAACGCATATCTGTTGAAAGTTTTATTTTTAAACAGTGAAGTATTGCTAATACAACTCATTGTGTTTTTCCCTGGACAGTTGCATGTGGGAAACATATTGATGTATTGTCTTCCCTTAAATTTATTCCTTCAATTCTCTGTACTTGATCGTGAAAAGTTCTTTTAAAACTCTTAAATTTACCTTCCTAAAATATGCAGAACCCCTGCATTATATACATTATAAGGAAACAATTTAGTTTAGGGTCCAAATCTCACTATTAACTAGTTTCTTATTAGCATGCATTTTATTAGGATATTGGCTGTTTATTAGTACTTATAAATCACATTATTAATGCCTTTTTCTGCATGACCATATTCTACATCCCTTAATCCTTCCCAATACCTAAACTTAACAACTACCATACTAACTATTAATAATGAGCAGTAATTGGGAGTTTATTGAGCCAAACGTCATAGTTAATAGTGAGAATCGGACCCTAATCTAAAGTCTGACCAAATTTTATATTATATTACAGATTTTTACTGATCCTGTTAATAAAAAATACCTTGTGTCAAGCTCATAAATACAATTTTTGTTTAAGTACAGTAGTTATGAATGCTTATCACAATAATCACGTTGTATCATCTCTGTTTATAGGGTTCCTTCATGACTGTGCAATCATCCACCGTGATGTGAAGGTATACACTGTTTTATATAATGATGTAATGATAATAAATATAATCCCTAAAATATCAAAAGAATGCCTTAAAAACATTCCCTGTTGTATTTTTAACAGATGGAAAATGTCCTTCTGACAGATCAGGGTAAGGCAGCCTGTGTTCTTTAGTCACTCCAGTGGAGGGCAGTATGTGTCCACTTTTTTCATGTAAACATGGAATCTTCCAGAACATCCAGGCGTGACGCTTTCCGAATAGGCCTAGAGTATTTACACAAATATGACATCGTGATAGCAATACAATATTAACAAATAATCCAATTCACAACATTTCTATTGTAATATTTCAATATTTGTTTGTTAAAATGCTGAAGTGAATATGACATCAAAGCTTATAAAAACAAACATCTAATCATAAATATATAATATGATATTAATAATAATAATGAATGGTCTTCTACAACAACAATATTGAAACCTTATAACCTATAATGATGAATAATAAACGTATCTTATTACAGGCCACCTACGACTGGCTGACTTTGGTTTGTCCCGGCGTCTTGAGCGGGGAGGGAGGGCATTCACTATTTGCGGAACAATTCAATACATGGGTAAATCTATAATAACTCAAGAAATGAAAACAAATAAAGAATTACTTTGAATTATATGTATATGCCAAACGAGTCATTAAATGATATTCATGGCTGAGCAAATGAAAGGACGTTTATGTCTAGCTGTGTGTGGAATGTAAGCAAGATTCTCATGAAATCTGTCTCTTCAGCTCCTGAAGTCCTTAGCGGTGGTCCCTACAACCACACTGCCGATTGGTGGTCTCTCGGCATCCTCCTCTTCGCACTGGCCACTGGAAAGGTGAGGACAAATGCACATATATTTGCATATATTGTGTTTTTTTTGTTCTCTGTGGGGTAAATGACACGTTTGCGTGTATGTGATGTGTCTTTTCTGCCAAGTCATTCTTAACTTCCCCTCCCTCCTCAGTTTCCAGTGTCCCCAGAACCGGATCACTGTTGCATGTTGAGGAGGGTACGCAGCTTCCCTTATGAGATGCCAAAAAACTTCTCTCCTCCTTTTGCTCTGCTGCTTACAGAGGTGAGACCTGGACACCTGACGAGGAGCTTTATTCGCCAAAATGTTCAAAGTACTATCAATTTTGTCTCTGAAATTCCCTAAAAATAGACACAAATGAGATCATTAAAAAAAATCCCTTTATAAAATGGATTGCTGAGATCATTTGGGTCATTTAATTCAGATCATTTTAAGAGAGTTCATACTGAAAGCTGTGAACAGTTTGCGACTGAGATCCCTTCTGAAATTATGGAGGAAACATGTGAGATTACTCTTTTTTTTTTTAAGATTATTGGAGCAAGTTTTACTATTTCAGTCTTTCTATTCAAAATGTCATCTTTAATTCAATGCGTTACGTGCAGTTTCTTTGTAAGTATTTGTGAAATTTCCTAGCAATTTCTAAGTAAAAAAATGTTTCAGAGTAAATCCTACACATTTTATTTACACTTTTTCTCAGGAGATACACCTGAGAAGCAGGAAAGTCTATTTGCTCTCTATTTAAGCTCAATAATTGATCTTATTTGTGATTCTTTACTGTGAGGACCTTTAAAAAAATTAAGACAGCACTAATTCCTGGTGTTGATATGTCACTTTTTAACAAATCACAAGTCAACTTCAAGTAATAACTGCATTACCCCAATCATTTCAACCCATTTTTTCTCTCCTCAGCTTCTTTGTAAGACTCCAGTACGTCGCCTTCGGACACTGGAACGTTTCAGGCGCCAAACCTTTTTCCACGGCACGCCATTTGATTCCCATCTGCTCCAAAAGACCCCCATGGAGCTGATCGTGGAGCTGAAGAACCGGCCTGACCGGCCTGCCAAATCCCGTCGAGGCCTGACCCTGGAGCCCTTCGCAAACTTTGACTGCGACTTTCTCTTAACCTCACCCTGCACACCCACAGTCCCAGACCTTTCCCCAACTCTGGCCAACATGGAGCGGGTAGAAGCGCTCATGCAAATCCATGTACCTCAGGACGATGCTTCCCAAAGAGAAGTGTTTGTTTAACTCTTTTTTTTTTTAAATCACACACTTTAGAGTGTGTTCACACTTGCCAGGTTTGGTTTGAATAAAATGAACTCGGGTGCGATTGCTCTGTTAGTGCGGTTCATTTGCATAAGTGTGAACGCTGCCATCCGAACCCTGGTGCGCACCAAAAAAAGCAGAATCAGACCCCTGAAAAGATGGGTCTCGATCCACTTCCAAACATAATATGAATGCAACATGGACCAAAGACATGTAAATGAACCAAAAACGGGACATGATGTCACAAGATGCAACCCTAAAAAGAGGTATTGTTTTGGATGGTCAGTAAGTTCTGTCATAAAAGCCATTTATTGTTTTGTTTTGTATCTTTAGACTCGGTGTAAAAATAGTGTGAACGCTAAGCAAACCAGGACTAAATGTTTCATTTTCTTTTTTGGTTTTCTTATCAAAAGAACCAAGAGAACCGAACTACAAGTGTGAATACACCCTTAGTATGTGGGGGAAAGTTCAAACCTTATTTGTAGGTTATTCTTCCGTGAAGGAATATGGTTAAGTGTATTTCATTTTTATTGAGACACTCTAGCTCTTACATTGAATTCCATACCTTTTGTTGAGACATTTAGTGAAATGTGGTTCATAGTTCCTCATATCCTCTGACATTATTTGACTATTTTGTCCTTATTAATAAGCCAGCACTGCATTTTCTTTCAACAAACATACCATAAATTCAGTTCTTCCCGGTTTTATGTTTTGAAAGCTGTGCAAACCCTCAGGGATATACGTTAATGCTAAAAGGATCAAATCTCATTTTGTATTAAACCTAAGCCTCGTGAAAAAGCATTGTTAATAGAAAAATGGTAAAATCCCAAAAAGTGGACATCTATACTTTTATATGAAATAATATGCTTAGCACTGTTCATTGTATTTGCATAATGCTGATATATACTGATTTTCCTATTGGCTTTATTGTTCCTATTGTTGTTTTAGCCAATGCTTTAGGCCTGGTTGGGTCACTGCCCATGTATGCATGAATAACTTTGTTTTCCTGGAATGACAGTTCTTGTTTTACGCCCAGAATGCCTGACACCAGTGATCCTTTATTAAATACTAAGCAAAGAAAGGGGAAGAAATGTAGTAAAATGTTTCTTTTTTTCATTCAATATTGTTATTGATGCTGTATGTGGTCATTTTAAAAGCTCCGCCCAGCAGGGACACAGCACTGCAGTTTCAGCTACTGCTATTATTGAGTTACAAAAACACTTTTTTCCATACTAGATAAAAGAAGCCTTTTTTTAAATATAACCAATCATTAATTGGTTTATCTAATACCTATAGTGGTGGATATTGTATAATTAATTTAATAGACAAATGTTCTGTAAGAAAAAAGAAATGTTGTATTGCAAATGTTATAATTTTCTTTCTTTTTACATTGACTAACTAGCTATTTATTCTGAATTTTTTCATTTGACTTTTTAAAAAGCCTACGTGCTCGTAAACACACCTCAAGCTATGTAATGTGGACGTGCGAGGTCACTTTAAAGGATCATGAATATTAACTATTATTACAATAAGGTCGTGACCAAAGCCACGCCCCTATGTGGGTTGCTTTTTCTAAGCGGTCACGTTGCGTTGCGGCATTGAAACTGGAGGCTGTCGACATCAGGGCATCTTTTGAATCACTCTCCTTAGCAGGTAAGTGAGTAAATTATTTAATTTAAATAAATATATATATATGTGTGTGTGTGTGTGTAATTGTAGTGACACTGCAACTTTCATAGATGGCATGTCATTTATTTTATCAGATAATTTTTGATGTTGAATATAATTTTGTTTATTCCTTCTGAATTGTACTTAAAACGTGTGTGTGTGTGTGTGTTTAAATTCACTATAAAAAAAAACGTTTATTTGCTTTTATGTCAAGTTAATGCGTCATCCGACAGGTGGTTCTCATTTAGTTATCAACCGCCTTCTCCATCATGGTGCTATGATGATACAACATATAAAAGCAGGTCTCATTCATTTCGGCGTGAAATGTTCATTTTTTTACTCAAAAAGCAACTATATAGAGACAACATCATCATGTCGACATTCAATGTCATCCTGATCACGGGTGACGACACCATCATCATCTCTCTCTCTCTTCCGTATATTTAACGTTAGTGTAGCTAACTGACAAACCGAACCCGAACAATGTTTATTTCACAGAATACGCAAATAAAAGCATCATATTCATGCGTAGGTCTATACAGCATCACGGATGAGACTGGTGTCTGCAGAAGGGAGTGTGGCCGATCTGCACGTAGGCATTTCTACATCAGTGTAGCTTAGCCTAGCGGATGTGAGCTAACGTGATGAAAAGTGTCCTTCTGATTTAATACACATCCTCACAACATCCCATCCTCTCGAAAGCGCTATTAAAACTATTTTCATCCAATTTGGGATCTGTCAAAGATGTCCATCACTCTAAATGTTCCCCTTAGGTCGCTTTAACATCCCATCTACACTGTTACCGACGCAAGTAGAACGCAGCACGCGCGCATCGCGGTGCGTCACAGCAGTGCAGAATGTTTGTAATGAATCACGCGTGCTGTGTTCCCTCATCATCCTGTCGCGTGACGTGTATACGTGCTGAAGATGGTGTCTCTCCTCTCTGAGGACACAGCTGTACATGTATCAAGGTTAAACGGGCTAAGCTGATGATGAAGACTAAGCTAGGTTATGTACGGTTCTCTAAACGGTGGCCTTTGACGCTTATTTTTCTTTTATGTAATATCTTATATATTTTGCATGACCAGTGTAATTCCATGCATAATACATCTGTTTGAAGAAGAACATGTGATATGTTTCTTGGCCTATTGACGCATCGTGTCATTTTTCGCCATTGAGAAAGTGGTTTTGACAAGTCAGTGTTATTTATATTTAAAATAAATAGTTTAGTAGTCAAATTACTCTGTAAAGAACTACACTACCCATACTCCTGAAGTGAAATCCACCAATCAGAGAAGTCAGTGTTAAAATGGAAACTGAAATAGTTGCTAAGGAACTGAGCAGACACTCTCAAACTGCTATTAGTAAATTAAGGAATATTTTGCAATATTGAAATTGATGTCATTAAGATGTCATTTTTAATATAAATTATTTATCTGTGTACAATACATCATTTTTTAAATGAATCTGCCCTCATAATCTTTAATCAAAATAACTTCTCACCCTAGCAACGACTTCTCTTAATGTATCACGTGAGATCGACCAATAGCAAACCATAACCATCCAATAAATTCCAGGTGGACAAGATCAAGTCCTGCCCTACATCTTTTTTTCTGAATTTTTATCTGTTCTGGCCGTGATAAATTGTCGCAAAGACTGCCTGTTAGGGTGTGGGGGGAGGGTTGGGGGTTTGTTTCTGTTGTAGCATTTCACCCATTACTCCAACCTGCAGATATCCCTGTCTCGAAAAATGGGCGGTCACTGTTGCGCATAGGGCTGGGTATCGTAACAAAATGTTCGGTACCGATACCGATACCGATACCTTGACTTCGATACCGGTTCCTGAACGATACTTTTTTCGATACCAATTTTATGTAACCAGGTTTAACAATATAACATTACCTAATTTTTTTTTCAGTTTGTTGGACTTTTTTACACTCATATTTTGAGTATGTAAAAAAGCACCAATGCTAAAGTTTTCTATGTTTCCTAATCATTTAACAACATGTATTCTTTACTTCAATGAGCTCATTGTTTCTGCTTTAACTTAATGCATTAATTAACGATGAAACTGAATGAAAATTAATTGAAATGCATTACACTGTCACCTCTGATAACAGATCACTCTAAATTGTAATTTAGACATGCATTTTCTGTAAAGCTGCTTTGAAACGATATGTATTGTGAAAAATGCTATACACATAAATGTGAATTAAATTAAATATAGGCTACTGGGGGGCGGGATATATACCTGCACGTGAAGCTTGCAGCAAAGCACTGGCAAAAGTAGCCTAATGATTATGGATGTGGAAACAATAGCAAGGAGATATTTTAATTGTTTATTAATGAACAAGTGTTTACTAATGGTGTGTTCACACCGAACGCGAATTTAATTATTTGTGCGAGTAGATTACATACATAGTCAATGCAAAGACGCGAATAGACGCATCATTCGCGCCGGGCGTCGCGAATGACGCGAATTGGGCGACGCGTTTGCCGCGAACGTCTTCCGCGCAAGTTGAAAAATTTGAACTCGAGCTAAAGATTCAACCGTCGAACTAGATGCGATAGACGCGTATTTGACGCTCTATTCGCGTTCGATGTGAACACCATTACTCTCAAGTGTATTTTGTGCGCTTCAGTGCCTAGATTTACCGTGTTGCCGGTCTTGGCAGCAATGATCTTGTCGAAAATATTGCATCGCGTGCATCTGGCATCGAGTCTGGCACATGACATAGGTACACTTTGGATCATTTCCACATATTTTCTATCTATCTGGGTTGGGACGCACGCTTACACACACACACACACACACACACACTGCAGCCTCACGTGCGACGAGCCGCGTCTCTGGGCAGCCGCGTAAACTAGTGTTTTTCCGCCACAGCCAATGCTGCATGCTTATTGTTTCACTGACGTTGACGAGATTAACCACTTAGGTACCGAAATGTGGTACCGAAAAACAAGACATGTTTCGATACTCGGTAGTATCGAGGCAATTCGGTCGGTACCTAAAAAGTACCGAACTCGGTACCCAGCCCTAGTTGCGCATGATGCGGTGCAGAGAAACCCGATCTTGTCGAGGAGATACAGACTGAAACAATCAGCTGTCACTTAAGCCTGAAGCATTTTCTTTGAGAAGCATCTTCTGCAAGGCCACCCACAGTCCCTCCCAAATATAAATATTTTTTTTAATAAAAAAAAAAAAAAACATTTTCTTTTTATAGTTCGATCTGAAGCATTAGAACTGTATGTGCACTGGTAAATGGTGTCAGCAACAGTCGGAAGGGGTTGTTCTTCACAGCCATAACTGATTATAGACCAGTTAGCTGCTCCATCCTGCTATTTTTAGCTTGTATATTCAAGCATTAGCCTATATCAGATTGATGTCTTGTAGACATTACTTTGATCCACAGTGTGATTTACTAAATGATTTAGAAGCGCAGTGTCTAATAAACAGTGACATCAAGACTCATCAAATATATTCACTTGCATTACAAACATTGATGACGCTTTGTAAATGGATAGCTAATGTGGTTTTCTGTAGAAGCTGTTGTTTAAATGGAGCTCATCTATTAAATGTCTCATAATAAACTGACATTAGCAAGCAGTCTAAATAATATCGTATAATAATAAAAAAAAACTTTCTATAGCATCTTTATCTTAAAGCAATTTACAAAAATAAATTAAAAATACATAAAGATGCAAAATAAAAACATGCTATCAAGAACACAATATAAAATAACAATTACAAAGTAATCTCATAAAAGCTACCCAGTGAAGTGAGTTTTAGGACTCGACTAGGACTAATATTACATTTAAATAACAATACAAAAATACAAATAAATAAATTCAAATAATGATCAAATATGTATCAATAATATTTAATTATAAAATAATAATGTAATTAATTAAATGTAATTATTTGTTAAGTTACATATAATTGAAATGTGGACCTGTATTGAAGTACAGTTTGCGTCGTGGAAACATAAGGTTTAGTACACATTAAGATTATCCCATGCTTTATGTGACAACAATTGTCAAGCAAAGGGCAAATTAAGGTCCCTTTGAATTAGGACCAGTGGACACCTATTCATCACGGGTCATTGACTGTGGTCATACATCAAAATGACCTCTGTTTGTCCTTTAAACACAACACATTGCCAATGAAGCCAATACAGCATGGCCTTTAGCATTAGCATTGCTCAAACTAAAGCCAGACAGTCATGACTCCTTTATTACAGAGTGAAGAAGTGGAATGGTAAAAGCGTGCCGTAACACATCCCTCGCAGAACTCAAAAGATTTGAAATTGCGTGATGAATGAGGTGAGCGGCTGCCGTAGGCTGTGTTTTCCAGTGGAAACTTCCATTGTTCAACAAAACCAACGAGTTGGAATCATTCACAGAGCTTCAGAGATGTGTGCTTCCCCGTCACTTCAGTAATGCTGTGATAAACCATCTGCTAGCACAGAAATACAGCAGTAGCTGAGATGCTAGATGTAGAGAGAAACAACAACCGGCTTGAAACCAATAACTGATTTGTTTAGTCTCTCGTTAAAACCCACATTAATTCATTTCAGTAGAATCTCAATTAAGGACAATATGTGAAAGGTTTCTCTTTCTGTGTGCATAAACTGGTGTGCTTATAGCCAGAGCGCATCCAACTGTGATTTACATCAACACAGACCAGCCAGTTTGTGCCGGTTTAGGCTCGTTCCATTCAGCATAGAGATGGGGGAGCACTCAACTGGGAAGACTATTAAGACATAGATAGAGATTTAGGCCCCATCCACACTACTGCGTTTTAGTTTAGAAACGGAGAATTAAATCGAATACGATCTCCGTCCACACCAGCGTTTTAGCTGCGTATTAGAATTGATCTCCGTCCACATTAAAACGACTGAAAACGCGGATCACGTGACCATTCACCAACACTGGGCATGCGCGTGCCGGTGTAAACACAACTTCATTGATAAAATTATCCCACCATGCTCTGGATTAACCCCAAACCGACGCTCCATGTACGGTCAACGCCGCCGCTGCACACGAGAATTGTCACAGATCGCTCGAATAATAGCTTGACTCCGGCGCATGTAGGCAGTTATAGCGTTGTAAAATGCAGAATTTACTTGTACAACAGCTGCTAGCAAAGATATACGCCATGACTGATGACACCCAATCATAGAGCCGAGCGTGAGCCTCTACTACGTCAGCTTTTCTAAAGTCCTCCGTCTTGACCCGTCTACACTAAAACGCCCTCCGGAGTTTCAAAACGAAAAACGGATCGGCAGCGTTTCTAAACTTCTCCGTTTTGGGTCTCCGTTTTTGCCGTTTTAGTGTGGACGGGAGGTGCAAACGTAGCAAAAGGTCTCCGTTTTTAAACGAAAACGCAGTAGTGTGGACGGGGCCTTAGATGAGCAGTGAACTGCGCAGTCAGTTTAAAATACAAGTCATAAATATGGTAAAATCTGACTGAGTGGCTGAGAGTGAGAAAAGAACCTTTGTGAAAAAGAAGTGCATTTAATTTCATTGAATCTGTGCTTGCAATGTACCTTAAACCTTATAAAACTGTACTTGTTGATGATATAACAAAAGTCCACTTTTATCACTGCTTCTTAACATACGTCTAACACACTTAACAAGTATACATTTAAAAGTGCACTTTGTAAATTCCATTTTATATTATTGTTTTAATAATATTTGTCATGCTTTAAAGGGGTTATGACATGGATTTTTATTTTATTTTAATGTTCCTTGAGGTTCACTTCTAATGTAAATAAAGTTTTTTGCACACACAAAAAACCCAAATATACATGTGGAAAAACAATTATTTTCAAGCCTCATTCTGACCCTCTTTCTGAAATGATCCATTTTTTTTACGGGCGGCTTAACCAAAAACTATAGAATAACACAAGACGCGTCACTCGTATTGTTTTGAATGGGGAAAAGTGCAACGCTCAATATGGTGGAATAGGCTAAGTCCCCGCCTTCTAAATAAGAGCCAATCGGCGATTTGGTGAAGTCATCGCGTCACTGCAGATGCCGTTAGAAGCTCCGGTTCCTATAGAGACAGTCAGACTTCCACTGCGCATTAGCTTGATCCAGCCTGAAAAATGACGTTTTCTGTCGTGATTCAAATGTAGAAACAAAATTGATGAGACAGTTGTTGTCAGATTTCATCGGTAATTTCAATTATGAGATTTAATCGTAAGCTTGGCGAAAAGTTTTGGAGAATTTGATGTTTCCCCATTCAAAGAGATAAGAGCTGCACTTTCGTGCCCGAGAGGGGTTTCAAAGATGGCCGCCGAGTGAAATGACTTGTCTTGAAAAGGACTTTGGCTTAACTCTGTTATGACTGGCTAACATCATTGCATAGTATCAAAGCGAGTATGTATTTTAAAAACATTATGTATATAAAACCATCATTTACAGACAAAGCATCATAAAATCATTTACCTACTATTTGTGATGCAGCTGGCAGATCCAATACAGCTGACTACTTCATCTGTCAACAGAAGTTTCATTGCGAACTCTGTTAATCTGTGCCTGGTTTACAAAACAATCTGCAGTCCTATTCTCTGAATAAACATATAATCCTCCGACACAATCCAGGACGGTATTGAAAACAAACCATCTACTTGTTCCTGAAGCTGGTATCCTTCTAAAGTCTGTACAGAGAAGCAAACGAGCTGTTTAAACTGGGCGCGTCAAATTGAACAATCCTTTACCCTTCAATTAACTCTTCCATTTGTCCTGTTGTCGACTAGGGCTGTCACTTTTGTGAAAAAAATCCTGTTCGATTTTTGAGACATAAGTGTTCATTGAATCGATTGTAAAATTGATTTTCCATGTCTAAAGACGTTTCCATTTTCAACACCAAATATAGGCAAATCCACGGACAACTAACAGGCATTAGGACGAACGTAAAGAGGGCGCTTGAGACATGCACAAGTCAACAATATTTCTGATGATTTATTGGCGTGAAGTTTCGTGCACAATGACAAACAGGAGAGCAACATTCAGGGATTGAAATTAACACCCTCCAACCCGCCAAATGCGGGTAAAAATTAACTTTGGCGGGTAACGCTGTCAAATCACTAGCCAATTTGGCGTGTTTCTATGTTTACTCACTTTGCTGGGGAAGTTCGTGTAAGCCAAATCTGCGCGGATTTAGCGCAAATACGCAACTCGTAAGTCCTCATGATATATTAAATACAGCGTATTGCGCAGAATCTGCGCATTTCTGGCTTACTTGAACACACACACATCACTAAGCAACAAATAACGGCGCGCTTGTTCACTTGCATTGAAGTAATAGCGAATATTAAAAAGCATTTGGTTAACAGAAAAGACGTTGTTATTTTCCAACATCCTACATGTTCTGTGTACTGTATTGATCTGTCCACCTAAAACACATTTTTGGTGTAAAAAAAAAAAAAAAAGCCGTTAAAATCTATTCCCTATTTTAGTTTTAGAAACTTGTGTTGGTTGGTCCGATCGATTGTGCAGTTGATTTTCGAACGTAAAGTGACAGCCCTATTGTCGACAGACTCAAGCGCGTAGATACGTCAGAAAGTGAATGGGCATCTGTATACTGTATCCAGTGTAGACAGAATCGGTGATTATAATGGGTTCTATTTACTTTTTGACGCGACGCTCAAATCCGGTGTAGGCAACTGTCAGACATTAAGCGACCGGACGCCAGGGGGCGGGGCCTATGGTGTGATGATGTATAACTATTTGTCGATGTCTTGTTCTGGAGGCAGTCATATGCAAATGCATCTGTCCATGTGGCGTCACAAGTTCCCCAATATCCAGACGAGCCGTTTTTGGAGCTTGATTAAATAAATGCTTTGTTTATAATGACGATTAGTTTACCACAAATGCTTGTCACTACATTCAGTAGTACAATGTAAGATTATAGAAGCAATTATGATATTAAATATAAAGATGTACTTAAGTGGGTCAAAAAAGCTCTCAAGTTCAACTAATTGCTTAATTTAAATTGAAATTGTATTACAGTTTGCAATTTTTTAATTGCATACAGTTTAGTGTCCGAAAACATTACATTCAGGTCGCACAGTATATTCTTTAAAATGAATAATTTCTATTATAAGTCTTTTAAAAATGATGCTAAAGTAATAATCCGTGCCCTTTAAATGAAATGCTGTGTCAGTCTAGCTCTCTAAAAGTGAGTAGTAACAGATAGTCGCATTGGGGATTGACAGCAGAGATTAGAGAGCTGTGATTGCATAACAGCAGTAGATAAAACTGCTCTGCTGGCTTTAGTCTGCATTATGCAATTCAGCCTCACTGAAGAGCTGTGAAGGAGAGTGGGCAGGAATATTAACCAACCCTTTTAGATAAAACTGTGTTCCATTATTCAGTCTGTTAATTCATAGCCTGCAGTTAGATGTTTCCAGGAGACGGATTGTTCCTTGTGTGAGACTGTTTCTAAGCTGCCGGGAGCTCTGCCAGCCACTTTCACATTCGAGTCATGTTCTGACTCTAAAATTAAGAGCTGAACAACTGTTTTCAACATGTAAAATAAATGTTTCTTAAACAGAAAATCAGCATATTAGACTGATTTCTGAAGGATTATGTGACACTGAAGACTGGAGTAATGATGCTGAAAATTTAGCTTTGCCATCACAGGAATAAATTGCATAATTACATAATACATGATTGAAAAAATAACTTATTTTTAAGTTGTAATAATATTTCACAATATTACTGTGTTTTCTTTTACTGATATTTGTTTATTTATGACTCTACAAGTTCAATTAAATACAATGAAAATATTAAATTGTTTAAAATTTGAAGGAAAAACTAAATGCTAAACTTGGGTAATGTATTTATTTGACAAAATTATTTGGCAAATAAAAGTCAAACTACAGCTACAGCTATTTTAAAATAAATAAAATGCATAAAAATCAGCTCTTAGGGAAAAAAAGCATTGACTACAACATAACCAGTTATTAATATTTCGTTGGTTCTCTCTTTTGCATGTTCATAATTTCATAAATTCTTGAATGACAGGCTGACCAAAAATTATGTCCGCACAATTTGGCATAATTGATTCCAAGCACAGCTACATAATATAATTACAAAATCTTTATCAAATTGTACTAATATTTAAATAAAGGATGAAAATGTCAATTTTCCTAGGCAGGACATGAGTTTTGGCCACTACTGTGTGTGTATAGATGGATGGATGGATAGATAGATAATCTATTCTATATAGACACAGATTTGTTCCAATATGTGAAGTTGCTGGTGAGATGGATGAAGTGACAGTCGTGTCTCCTCTGTTGCAGGTCACTTTGAGCCACAGACATCATGACGCACCAGTACCCCGCACTCACTACTGAGCAGAAGAAGGAGCTTCAGGACATCGCACAGCGTATCGTAGCTCCTGGGAAGGGCATCCTCGCTGCAGATGAGTCCACAGGTCAGTGACGGTTGCACCGTATATGAATGTAACACATTCAGTTTGATCATTTACTCCCCTTGATGGTTGACGTTCTGTCATTCTGTGGAAAAACGAGACATGCTGCAAACAGTGACTGAATCACCTACGTCTGCTTTCTGCCAGTCCCTCTAACACAGTGTTACTCATTGCGCAGCTCACCAAGCTTTAATTTGTGGCTCGCGTGGCGGTAAATAATACGGTGATATGATCATGTAGTCAATACAGATATTTCATAAAAACATTAAAAACAAGTAGGGCTATAACTAGTGGTCGACCGATGTTGGTTTTTTGATTGCCGATATCTTGGAGAGCAGGGTGGCCGATATAAGGCCAATATTTATATATATATATATATATATATATACACTTTATATTTATTTTAATCAATATTTAATAAATTAGAAAACAAATCTTTAAAATAAACATGCTTATACTTAGGATTGCAGATTCAAGAAGTTGCCATCTAATTACAGTTTTTTTTCACAAATAAAGTAATTGCTTAAATATATATGAATATGTGAATAAAAAAGGTAAACACTGTAACAGGGCACTCAGTAATCTGGTAATTTCGTGCGCACTGGTAATCATATTTTTTTCAAATAAAGACAAGGTAACGCTAATTTTACATACAGCACACAGTGAAAACGATATGAATATGACACAGTGGGCAACTGGATATAGCACAGCATATTTTAAAATGAAGGATTTAAAGTTTTTCGAACGCGTCTCCTGTGAAGCTGATCTTCTGTTCGCGTTCACTCACTTCACATGGACCAACCGTCACTCGCAGTAACTTTATGCAGGCTACAAATGCACACTTCACAAGATATCACAGCTGGATTCGATTAAATCTGTAAGGTTTGTGAAATTAAATGTTTAATAGATATTCAGAGATTTGTTTAAATGATGTAGATGTGCATTTGCTGAATGTTGACGGTAAATGAGAAATTATTTTAGCCTGATTGTTTGCCTTTTCTGTTACTAATAATATAAAAGCAAACACTTTACTTTTTTGCATACCATTTACTTTCTTTGTTTACCAGTTTTGTCTAACAAAGTATTAGATATGACTGACAGAGATCGTAAACTAATGAAGACGGAGAATGTGAGTGAGCGCTGTGTGATCAGGCGCTGCCATTCTCTTCTCAGGCGCTGTTGCCGCCTGTCAAAATAAAAGTCTGGAGCGCCGTCAAAATAAAAGTCCTGCTTCCAACACATCGGCCAATCAGAAAAACGTATCGGCCAGTGCCGATATTTTAAAAATGCCAAATATCGGCTGATATATTGGCCTTAGCGATATATCGGTCGACCACTAGCTATAACATAAACCATTAAAAAAGTGTCAGCTCTATTACAAATAATTTCGATCGGATTGAAAGGGGTGGTTTATTCCTTTTCTAATCCAATGGAGAGAACATGTAAACTCTTGATCGAATTGAAAACCGAAACTGTAAGGACAACATATGACGCGTGGAATGAGCTGGTCTTCCTGTTGAATAAAGTGTCATATAAATGAGTGTCCCGTCATTCTAAAATTCTCCTATCACTCTCCGCGTCTGTGAAGTAGAGCAGGACAACGTCCTTTTTCAGATTCTCATCCACAGACGACTGGTTTTGGGCGCGGGGAGGGGCATTTTTACTGCGTGATAAATATAAGCAGCACTGCACAATGGTTCATATGCTCATTGTCTCCAAATTATTATGTCTACTTTTTAAAACAAATAAAGAACCTATGTAGGAGTGGTTATAAGCGCAAACAGTGGGAAACTTTGTATATTTGTGCAGTGTGCACATGTCAAAAAATTAATTCCGATTTGAAGCTTGTGACACGCACATCAACCCGATCACATGTTTAGCGTTCATGTAAACGCTACATTCAGATTCATCAGTCGGAATGAATTCAGTCCGATTGAAACAAAAGTTGTGCATGCCAGTGATTCACTGCGGAGGTGCCAGTTTAACTTTCCAGCTCTTAACGCCGAATGTGCTCTTGGATGGTTGGATACATGATGGGCTAATGTAGGGAAAAAAATAACTTAAGGTCATTAAATATATTCTGGAAATCCTGCTTTTTTGTCATTAAGGGAAATCATCTTGTCTCAGTTACAAATTTGACTGGTAAATCATAAAGAATGATCTTTTCCCCCTCTTTTGTATTTATTGCTTTGCATATTGTATGTTCAGGGATGACCGATTGATAAGCAGACATGGTATTTATTATGACTAGATGTAACTTTTGATACTTTGTGGTAAAAGTGGCTCTCCTATTGACTTAGTCTATCAGTGTGGCTCTCATGGAAAAAATTGTGAAGACCACTGCTCTAACACAATGATATGTATGTCTGCGTCTATGTAGGTAGTATGGCAAAGCGTCTGAACCCAATCGGCGTGGAGAACACAGAGGAGAACCGTCGTCTTTATCGCCAGCTCCTTTTCTCTGCTGACGAGCGCATTGACAACTGCATTGGTGGTGTTATCTTCTTCCACGAGACCCTCTATCAGAACGCTGATGATGGCACATGCTTTGCCAAATTGATCAAGGACAGGGGCATGGTTGTGGGAATCAAGGTACAAGAACAATAACAGTGGTGTGATTAGAACGTCCAGTGCGTCACGTGATCAGCTGCTAAATTCAAATGTGCTTTGGCTGGTGCTCAGCCCTTGTCATAAATCACAACTATTCAGTGTTTACAACCACGGATATTTAAATACACATAAGTACTAGCAAACAAAAATACATTTATAGTGTAAAATGCACACTGTTGGAAGCGGCAATAGCAATCCTTTCAATTATAATTTGACGATGTGTTTTATTCATATCAGATACACATTGTGTTGGTAACTGTAAATTTTACTCTATTCTTCTCCCAGTTTAGTTTTACGTAATGCAAATCCAATTGCAGTGCAGTTTAACACATTTTTATTTATTTTAACAATATAACACATCCTTGCTGGGAAAAAAAATTAATTTCTTTCAAAAAAACAATTCTGACCCCAAACTTTAAAAAAATTAATTTCTTTCAAAAAAACAATTCTGACCCCAAACTTTTAAACGGTAGTCTTTATTCATCAAAGAATCCTGAACACAATATCACAGGTTATAAAAAATTTAGGTTGCACAACTATTTTCAACTTTTTTTGTTGATAAATCAGCATATTAGAATGATTTCTGATTCTGAAGATCTGATTCAAAAACATTAAAAGTAGTAATGTTTCCGAACTTTTGGCCGGTACACACACACACACACGTATGAGGGAAGATTTTTTAGATAACACAGTAGGCAAAAGATTGAGAATAAGATTATCAGGTTAATGGAGGTTGTTCATGTTTGCCTCAGCCAAGTATTCTAATTGGTACAAGACCTTTTTATCTGTTTGAAGATGTATTTGTGTAAATGTACATTTGAAATATTATTCCAAACTATACTTCTATTATTGCTTTGTATGTATAGTTTATAGGTGAATAAAGAAGTTTCAACAATTTCCTTTTTTAGGAGTGGATTATTAGCAGATTGATCTTTAAAGCAGGTTGTCCTCTTTTTCAGGTTGACAAAGGTGTCGTCCCTCTGGCAGGAACAAACGGAGAGACCACAACACAGGGTAAGCTTACAGTCACCGCTATTTTATTTGTTTAAAAGGATGTCAGTTATGGTGTTGTGTCAATGGGATACCTGTTTTGTCTTAAGGGCTCGATGGCCTGTCAGAACGCTGTGCTCAGTATAAGAAAGACGGTGCAGACTTTGCCAAGTGGCGCAGTGTGCTGAAGATCAGTGAGACCACACCCTCAGAGTTAGCCATCATGGAGAACGCTAACGTCCTGGCTCGCTACGCCAGCATCTGCCAGCAGGTGAGCTTCTTAAGTCTTGCCCAGCTTTGTGTTGATCTTAAAGCAGTGTTGTTATTGTTAAAGGAGCTGTATGTAAGATTGTGGCCAAAACTAGTACTGCAATCACTGTCAAATTACTGTAGAGTGTTGTATCCCCTCCCCCTCCTCCCTGCCTCGAGGTTGCCAGATCGGCTGCAGGATCCAGCAGGAACGTGACGAGCTGCAGCTGTGGTAACTAGAGCAGAGCTGGCAACCCGGATGCCGCAACACTACTGACTTCGTGATTGGTAGATAGGTGGAGGGTGGAGCATCAGACCAAAACACAACATGACAACATCAACATCAGTTGAGGGCTGCAACTGCACTTTTTAAATGACAATATCCTGGCCAGACTACTGTTGTCAGTGATATAAGTATTTGAAATGTACATGATTTCTTAATGTCTAGTGACATATCAGGGCCATTTCATGATTAATTGAAATAAATTTCTTACATACAGCTCCTTTAACTAAAATGAATACTATTAACGGTTTAGTTCAGGTCCAAAAATGAAAATTCTGTCATTTACTCTCCCTCGTGTTGTTCCAAACCTGTAAGACTTTCATTCATCTTCAAAACACAAATGAAGATATTTTTAACAAAATCTGAGAGATTTCTGTCCCTCCATTGACAGTCTCGCTAGACAGTACTGGCTTGATGTGTGAGAACAAACCTTATTGGTTCTTGCAGAAGCTCAAACGTGCTGCTTAACATGAGAATGAACCTCATTGGTTCTTGCAGAAGCTCAAACGTGCTGCGTAACATGAGAATGAACCTCATTGGTTCTTGCAGAAGCTCAAACGTGCTGCTTAACACAAGAATGAACCTCATTGGTTCCTGCGGAAGCTCAAACGTTCTGCATAACATTAAATCTGTTCATTATATAAACGATCGAGTCTCTTCAGAAAATTTGGATTAAACCGCTCAATTCATCCTCTTTATGAGCTTTTAGAAACGACATAGTAGTAGTTGCGTAGCTGTCAATGGGGGGACAGAAATCTCTCAGATTTCATCAACAATATGAATCAAAAACTAACCCTTTAAAAATCATTATCTAAATCGTTAATTGAAAAAAGCTGAAAAAATAGCTATATATATTTAACTAAAAAAATTCTCTTGGTAACTAACTGAAATAAAATAAGCTTAATACGTAATATTGTCTTTGTTTTTCAGAATGGCATTGTGCCCATTGTGGAGCCAGAGATTTTACCTGATGGTGACCATGACTTGAAGCGTTGCCAGTATATTACAGAGAAGGTATGTAAAAAGTGAAATCAAATGATATCATTCCAACTAAACTTGTTTTAATGGGAGGTGGCATGATTCATGGTTACATTTACTTTACCTATTTCCCATGTATTTCCAGGTCCTTGCTGCCTGCTACAAGGCCCTGTCTGACCATCATGTCTATCTGGAGGGAACTCTTCTGAAACCCAACATGGTGACAGCTGGTCACTCCTGCCCCACCAAATACAGCAACCAGGAGATTGCCATGGCAACAGTGACAGCCTTGCGCCGCACCGTTCCCCCCGCAGTAACAGGTGAGTCTATAGAGAAACTACCAGCTGTTTGATTCACTGGTTTTGAGGCCTAAAGAATGAGGTTGCTGGGTATTTAAGAATACGAAGAGCGCAATAACGTAGTTACTTCTGGAAACATCATGTTTTTAAAAAGTGTGAGCAGTAAACATTACTGTATGTGGTCAGACCACAGGCCCATTTTAGAAAATTTGCATAATCCGTTTTGAAATTCCTCTGGCAGGTGTGACCTTCCTCTCTGGAGGTCAGAGTGAGGAGGAGGCGTCCATCAACCTGAACGCCATCAACACCTGCCCTCTGAAAAAACCCTGGGCCCTCACCTTCTCTTATGGACGTGCCCTGCAGGCCTCTGCCCTGAACGCCTGGCGCGGGTCCAAGGACAACGAGAAGGCCGCCACAGAGGAGTTCATCAAGCGTGCTGAGGTCAGTTATTCAAATCATTTCCTCATTAAGGTGCGTTCAAATGACCCAAATAAGCTCCATAGTCTTTTGTCTATAGTGTCAATAGAGTCGCTTTCAAACCAAGCAGTTTTCTGTTGGTCAATGTGGCAAATCTGCATTACCAACTTGAATCTGTGGAGAAATCTTGCTCTCATGCAAAATTCCTGATTGCGTGGATTCCTATTGAAATAACTGGATTTAGCATTAGTAAATGTGACACTTTAAATTTTACCTAAATGCAAAGGATTTTTTATGAAATCTGTTTTTGAACATAACTTTTATTTATGCTAATTTCTTTCAAATATTATTAATATTTGTATTTAACAACCCTCTACGGACACACTGAAGCTCGAGTCTCTATTGGCTAGTACATTTTTTTTATTTTACTCGCCAGACTTTTTACATGGAATGCAAGAACAATGCAAATGAAACAAATCAACATAAATATAATATCAATATAAAATAAACATTTCAAACACTAATAAAGTCAAGTCTTTGTTCTTATTTTATCACAGACTGTTTAATCAAACTACATGCAATTGCATTGCGTTTTCTCTCTCGACTGTTTACGTTCACTTAAGACATAACCAACCAAAGCCGGGCATTTTGACAATTTTGTGTGAAATTGTCCATTCAAGTGCAAGACAACGTGAAAGAGAGCTCAATTCAGTGATCACGTGCTGCCAGACGTGGCTTTCTGGGTGCGTGCTTCAGATGTAAAATTTGTGTACAGCTTTCACAACTTATTTTTCGCTTGGCATTTTGCTTGAATGTTTAAAATGGTAAGACTTAATAATGCGTCCAAACGATAAACTTTCATGACGACGCAGCACTGTTCCGATCGGGACAGTGACAGTTCTGTCTTTCTCTCAATGTGAGTGCGCATGTGTGAGAGAAAGCGACAGAGGGTGCTCTCGGCCAAGCGACGGTGCGTAAAGCTCAGCAGGCAATGAAATGATATCTGCGCTAAACTTATTTTTTGCATTTCAAATACAGGCGACAATAATCGTACAATTTACTAGCCATTGGCTAATTAACTAAATATTTTTTAGTCGCCTCATGTAATTTGATCGCATTTGCGAGTGATTTACTCGCATTGTAGAGGGTTGTTTAATTACTAAACTATTTATCGTGAATAATAATCATGATTATAATTTTTGAGCAAAATAATCATGATTTTCACTTTAACCATTATCGTGTAGCCCTAGTTTTCGACTAAATTAAAACTTGAATTTCTCTTTTGCCGTTTCGGTACAAAATTTTGCTACATCACTCAATCATATCACTAATTTAATCACAGTTTTCTGGTAAATATATGGATTGACGAACATGAGCTGGAAAATAATATAACATAATAAATGTATTATATATAATATACAACATTTTATAACAATAGAGCTATATGAATCTGCAATTATTGTTTTGTTGTTAGGCTCAATCCCAATTCACCCCTTGGCCCTACCCCTTGTTTTCGAGTGTACCCCTTGGCCCTTAAAACAGAGTTACAAGGGCCAAGGGGTTGAAATATTCCCCTACGAAATGGAACAACCCTTCATGAACCCGATACGTCATCAGTCGTCAGCGATGGCTCTGCCGTTACGGAGTTTTTACAGGATTTCTCCATGACAACGACTGACAATCAGCGCAGCTGCTCTTAACTTTGAGGAAACATGATGCTTATAACGTTCCTTCCTCGAAATGTATGTCTTTTCTGTTTCGGAAAGATAATTTGTTATACAATTTCTTAATTTAAATGACTATATCATTATTATAAGAGTAAATAAAGTGCACGGTGGTGTCATCTGGCGCTAAATTTAAATGTTTAACCGTTTGTGAAGCCATCTCACCGGTGATTCGCGATGTATTCTGCGAACTTTCTTGTAGCCCTCCGTTTGGAGTGTGCCTCTGAAAAATCTCAGTTTCGAGGAGATGGTCCTCACTGCAGAACATGAAATCCACAGGGAGGAGTCGGATCCAGATCCAACTCCTCCCACCTTACATATACCTAAACCTACCCATCTCCGCCCCCTGATCCCTAAACACACCCCTAATTCCTAAACCCACCCCTAATCCTACCCATCTCCACCCCTTGGATCTTGATCCGACTCCTCCCCGTGGATCTTATGTACTGCATTGAGGTGCTACTGGTTTCGAGGGCTATGTAGCCCTACACCTTCGCCCTACCCCTCGATCTAAACAAGAATCGGGACACCCTACCCCTTGACGTGAACGCGCAAAACGGAGGGGTGAAGTGGGATTGAGCCTTAATGTAAGGCCTGTCTGAAACTGCTGATTCAGGCAGCATAAACTGACCTTTGTGAACTTTCCTCAGGCTAATGGATTGGCTGCTCAGGGCAAGTACGTCTCCAGTGTAACCAGTGGAGCAGCGGGACAGTCCCTTTACGTGGCCAATCATTCCTACTGAACATCCTGCATCCCAACATTCCAGTTTCCGCCAGCCAATAGTATAATGCACAGCTGCTACCCTTCCTGTCACCAACCAATCACAGGCCTGCGCTGTCTTCTGTACTTTAGGGTTGTCATTGCAATGTCTTATATATCTATTTAAAATGTATTACACCTTTGAAACAGAAATGGGAAAAATAAAGGTACAAAGATTATTTTTGTTTTTGAAGAGTTCTAGGCGTGGTTTCATGCTAAAAACAAGGAAAGAGTATTTTTTTTGTGGGCCCTTAGCAAATGTATGTCAATGTATGTCAGACTTTTTTTATTATTATTCCAATTTAAGTCATTCCAATTCAGGCACCAGCCACTCGAGTTGACTTGTCACATTCCTTTCAGTGCAGTATGGCCTCATAATGATGCGTGGATGATGCGAGTACTGGACTTCAGGTCAGTGTACCCAACAAGGGCAGTTTATCATATTGAAAATGAAACTAAGTAATATAAATTATTAACTCCAGAATCCAGAATATTATTTTGTGTTTTCACATATAATATTAATGCATTTTCTGGGATGTGTGATTACGGTTCAAGAAATTTAATATAAAATACTAACAATATTAGTTTGAAAGCAAGGACAGTTATTTTAGAATTGTATTCTCTTGTGTTGTGTGCTTGAGTGTATCATGCTCTCACTTTCCTCCCCATATTTGTGACAATGCTACATGAATAATAAACTTGTATTGGTTGTAAACGGCGGAGCAGGCCAAACTGTGGAGCTTCTGGGAAGGGGAGCACTCCCTGCTCTGTTGACAAAATGTGATATTGTGATTTGATGTTGTTCTCTGAGCACTTTGTCTGTCAGATAGTAAAAACTAAAATAAAAATACTGTAAAACCCCAGATCCTCTTTTTGTCCATATTGTGCAGGTATTTCAAACACCACAGTTTACATTTACACATTCTTCCTATTTTACAGCTTTCCTCCACTGACCCCCAGCAATTTGCTGAATTTTACGCATGTTTAGTTCTATGAGGCACAAATCCAATGTTTTTATGTTGTGAGACCTATTAGATGTTTGATTAAAATATTACCTAAAAGAATAATAACCTAGCATGAAAAGTTTTAAATGCATCAAATACACATATCTTCCCCATTAAAACTGATTTTGCCACCTTCTCAACAAAACCCCTAAAAAACATCTTTGGAACACTAATGAAGATCTTTTTGATGAAATCTGAGAGCTTTCTGTCCCTTCAGTGACATCAACACAACTAGCACTTTGACGCTTCAAAAAGTTAAAGAGATCGTAAAACTAATCCATATGAATTGAGCGGTTTAGTCCAAAATTTTCTGAAGAGACTCGATAGCTTTATATGATGAACAGATAATTTAGGCTTTTATTCACATAAACATTCAACTCACTCACATCAGTTGTGGAAAACGGAAGCTCAAGCATGTTGGCTTGACGTGCGAGAACCAATGAGGTTCATTCTTGTTTGAACTTCAACAAAAACCATAGACAAAAACCCATAGACATAATAAATACATTTATTATGGTTACATATTTATTATGTCTATGCAAAAACCAATGCAGCTTGTTCTCGCTTGTCTAGCAAGTTCGATTGAGCTTCTGTTTATGTTCACTGATCAATGTTTATATGTGGATAAAAGCCTACATTCATCTGTTTGTCATATAAAAGCAATCGAGTCTCCTCAGAAAATGTATGTCTAAACCGCTCAATTCATATGGATGAGTTTTAAGATCTCTTTATGAACTTTTTGAAGCGTCAAAGTGGTAGTTGCGTAGCTGTCAATGGAGAGACAGAAATCGCTCATATTTAATTAAAATAATCTTCATTTGTGTTCCAAAGATGAACGAAAAACGTATGGGTTTGGAACGACGAGGGTGAGTAATTAATGGCAGAAATTTCATTTCTAACCCTTGAAGCCTTGTCTGTGAAATTAGGGTTAGTGTGTATTAATGTTTAACCCACGTTTTATGAATGACAAATAATATTTTTATATGGTGAAACAGACCATTTGTTAATTTAAAGTGATAGTTCACCCAAAACTGAAAATTCTGTCACTCACCCTCATGTTGTTCAAACTTCTATGACTTCCATTCTGTGACTGTAGGAGGCGCTGCTGTCTCCCTTACCCTTACCTGGCTTGCCCAACCTTTTAGATTTCCGTCACTGCAACACATGATGCGGTCACAGAAATCGGTGTTTAAAAACATAAAAACATATATTTTTGCCTCCGTGTTTTTTATCCATACAATGGAAGGCGATGGTAACCTAAATATATTGGTTAGTTACCAACATTCCAACATTCAAAATAACTTATTTTGTGATCTGCAGAAGAAAGAAATGTATACAGGTTTAGAACGACATGGGGTTCTGATGACAGAATTTTAATTTTGAGGGTGAACTAACCCTTTAAAAGTGGCATAATTTATTAACTGCATGGATACCGGAAGAAAAACGAATAGGCTTTTTAAGGGAGAGTAAAATGACGCTAAACCCGCCCCTTTTAACTCTGATTGGAAGACTCAGTGCCTTCTAGCGTCTGATTGGATAGAATCGACCAATCGCGTGCCATGCGGTAGTCATTTTACACAGCAATGGCAGCACTGCAGCTTGGTGAGTCTTGTGCATTAATTCAAAACGATTTCCTCATTTTTCTCTCGAAATTGTTTTAGTGTTCACGTATATCTCTCACGAATTTCCATTTATGAGTACATGACACTAAAGCCAAATGTCAGCGTCTCGTTAGTTGAGTTATGTAGCTCTGGTTCATGTTGAAATGGCAGTGTTGGGTCACTCACTATGTTTTTGTGAATGTATGGACGCCTGTGTTTACCACAGTTTGAATGTGCAGTCCCTATTTAGTATCATTCCCTAATATTTCCTTTTGGTTATATTAGAAAAGCAGCGAGGTCGATATGCTGCTCTTGCCATCGCTGCAGTGGTCACTGTTGTGGGCATCCCACTATGGTGGAAGACCACACAGACCTACCGCGCCTGGCTGCCTTTCTCTGAGATCAGCGAACTCGACAGCCTCCAGGTGACAGACACTGCATCCTTCCTCAAGACAGAATCCGCAGACAAGGCTTAAAGGGATAGTTCACCCAAAAATGAAAAATACCCCATGATTTATTCGCCATCATAGGTGTATATGACATTCATCTTTCAGACGAATGCAATCGGAGTTATATTAAAAAAATGTCCGGGCTCTTCCAAGCTTTATAACGGCAGTGAATGGCCATTTCTGTTTTGAAGTCCATAAAAGTGCATCCATCCATCATAAAAGTGACCCACACGGTTCCGGGGGGTTAATAAAGGCCTTCTGAAGTGAAGCGATGCGTTTGTGTAAGAAAAATATCCATATTTAAAACTTTATCAACTAAAATAACTAGCTTCCGACAGACGGCCATACGCATTGACTTACAGCAAAAGAGTAACCTCTGACCTGACGCATGATTCATTGACGAACGCGGAAGCGCAGGATAGAGTAAAACAAAACACCAGTCACGAATTAGAAGTCTGAAACGAGAATTTTTAAATGTCGGATTTTTTATTTATTATTATTTAATTTTTTTAAAGGGGTCATATAATGCCATTTTTGTACAAGCTAATATGATTCTTTAGGGTCTAAATTAAAAGTTTGTAATATACTTTAATTAAAAATTCTCATTAGTATTGTAAGAAAACAGTTATTTTACCTGGTCAAAAACAGCTCTGTTTTCAGCACGCCGTTTCAGTGCATATGACTTTAAATGATCATGAGCTGTGCTCACTCCGCCCCTCTGTTCTGTGCGTACACGTTTATAACACAATAACCATAACGCGTTGTTCAGCATAAACGTGGGATTATGAATTATATTGAGAACGTCGTACATAGAAAACATGCCGTAATGTACCCTAAGTGTAAACCTTAGACGCATTCATCGTGAAGCGTGCAGCTAGCAATTTGCAAAGATATAAATATTAATGTAAAGGTTAATAAAACGTTACACTCACTTCAGTTGTTCTAGAGGTTCAGCAGGAACACGAATAGCTGGTACCGATGGCAAAACCAGCTTTATACTGACCCTCGTTTATAAAGCAGTCTGGTGAGAAATGATTCGCGCAAACATGAAAGCATTGACGTTGCTCGTGAGGAATATTCCCTTCGAAAACAAACTCAGCCACTGCTTCTTCAGCGGTTCGGATTTAGGAACATTAAAATAAGTGCTGTGTTCGTTATTACACCCAAGAACAGAACACCACAATCGTTTAGACGCCATCTCATGAAATGGCGTATGTATGACACCCCAATTCGTATTTCCATTTTTGGCGTGCTATCAACACGCATAATCGCTTTTCAGCGTGTTTATCAACGCCTTTGACTTAACGTTATATTACTGTATTATGTATATATAGATATATGACCTACCCCAACCCCGTCCCTAAACCTACCCGTCACTGGGGTTAATACCATTTATGAGTCTTCTCCTACCATCCTAGGAAAAGAAATATCGCTCCACAGATGCAGATATAGATTTTGCTTCGTTTCGCTCGAACATTTAACGGCGTACACATACACGCGGAATCACTCGGACATTTAATGGCGTAGACATACACGCAAAAGATTTCGGCGTGGACATACACGCGGATAGCTCAAAATGCGTATAGATAACACGCCACTTGACTTGAAAGTGGCGTGTATGTTTACGCAAAGTCATGATGTCATGTTGCATAGACAGTGCTCCAGCATATCAACAATGACCGTGCCGGTCCGCGCAGACTATGATTGACAGCTGGCTCACGAGCAAGGGCGGGTCTGTGTTGAATCGCTGCTGTCATTCAACAATCGCGGGAGGGGCGTCCGACCGTGTGACGTCACACGGTCGAACGGCTCGATTTGAGACAGGGGAAAACATATAAGGAGATTAAAACAAAAACACTGGATGGATTTTTATCATTATATGATGGTTGTGTACAGGCACTGCCAACACACATTTCACAAAAAGTGCATGTACCATTATATGACCCCTTTAATAATTTTTTAAAAAGTTTGTTGCCCAGCCCTGTTTGTTTGAACCGCGAGAGATGTTCAAAGCTTACGCTACTCCTACGCCCTACGTCATACATCGCCAAGTGTTACTCTTTTGGCGTAAGTCGACTTACGTAGGCCGTCTGCCGGAAGCTAGTTAGTTTAGTCGATAAAGTTT